TTTTGTGGTCAGTATGTCTAGATTCATCTTATCACAAAGTTTAGAACTGTGGGGCAGATTTAGAGCTGCCTTAAATTTTCGCGAAAATTTAAAGTGGCTCTGAATCTTTTTCGACGAATTTAATTTAATTTTGAATTAGGTAAAATGTCGGATCTCCACAACTAATCACTGTTCAACAATGAAAATAATGGGCCACCGAGCTCGATGTTGAGTTATTATTACCAAAAGCTAAACTTAGTGTGTTTCTGACAGATTTTACTATTGCCATAATAACCAACCTATGATGTCAAGAAAATTGCCATAGGATGTTTACCGATGGTTAGGTATGTGTTTGATACCACTATTGTGCTATCACCTTACAGAGAAAGGTACTACCCATCCGCCAAAGTACATAGACGCTTAACAAGTACTAGAAATCGATGTCAGCCACCTTAAAATCCCATAGCATGCCACGACGGCAACTCATATAAGAACTCCGCCAGCTCGATGCGGAAGTGCGAGGAAATCTTAGGCAGCTTTTGCTAAAGGTCATATTTACCACTGAGTTTTAACTCTAACCGGTAATGATCTGTTTGATAAAGCCTGGTTCACACTAGCGACATAACCACATAACGACATCGTCACGAACGACATAAAAAGGACGTTATCTCGACGTAAATTGGACGTTATGTTTGTAGCGTGAACATGTAGACATAATGACATATTAGCAACATAACAGCATGAACATAACGACATAAAGATTAAAACTGATCTTTTCCTTATGTCGTTATGTCGATGTCGCTATGTCGTTATGTCGCTATTGTGAGCCAGGCTTAAGAGGGACTATTATAAGTAAGCTTCTCGCGGTCCCTTTCTGCATGATAGTCGAGAGCCTCAAACATGTACATGCAGCTCAGCAACACTGGAACGAGAAGAGAAAAACAAGAAGGGACTGGGGGAAACTCTCCCTCGACCTTCCACAGTTCATTGACGTCAGGCTCATTCACGTCAGGCTCCTTCAGTCTCGCCGCTCTTTTGGCTAGTACTCTCGACATCCACAATGAAACAGCTAGAAGTCTAGATGAAAGGTATCCAGGAACTTTCAGTTTATTAGTATCAATCCTACCTTGGACTTTGTCAAACGTGCAGGATTAATTTCACCGACTTGACTCTCCAGAGCCTCTATTTGTCTTTCCTGTTGCTCTACAGTTCGTGCAGTTTTATCCACCTCCTGTTGCAACTCAATGTTTTGCAGGTATCTAGCAGCTGGACCCTGCAGTGGGAAAGATATGTTTCAGACAAGGTTTATGCTTTGTTCTCGCTTTAACCGAGGGTAAAACCTTAAAATCGATAATGAAAAACAAAAGAGGGTGAACAAATGGAAGTAGAGAAAGAACACGTTGAGGGAATATAGGACAGCAAGAGAACACATAATAAAGGGACATATTACAGAAGCTTATCACATGGGCCTTGGCAGCTTAAAGGATCCCTTTATAGCCCACTCTTGACTCGTCAGTGGAAAGATCTTGCAAACGTCTTGGAACCCTAAAAGACGTCAGCCTCCCAGCTTATAATCAAAAAGCTGACGTGTAAAACGATGACAACTCGCTAACCAATCATAACAACCTTCCTTCCTCACAGATGAAAAAGGGTAAATTGTACGATTGATCATTGGCGAGGAATGGTAAATGCAAGACTGTTTGCGAGATGGCATGACTATCTTTTTTTTCCCAGCCCGAGAAAAGTTGACTTTAATTGCGAGACTGAGACTTCATGGTGTTTTAAGTGAGAGCGCGAGACGACCAGACTCGATCACATTTAAGGGTGGAACATTTATGTTTTGAAGGGGGGAGGGGGCGTTGGTTTTGAAAAAATATCCTGCAATCGTGCACCCGACCCGCCTACGGAAATTCAGTGAGCTGAAAAAGGCATGTTACATGGAGAAAGAATATCATGCTTGCATATGTCCCGAGATAAAATTAAAATTCCTAGTGCATGAAAGAGCTGAAAAAAAAAAACATTCATGCCCATACCAAATCGCA